CAAAGGACTGTTTTCATCAATGGAGTCTTGTGGCTTTAAAGAGAGAATAGAAAACAGCTTCAGATCCCCGTCAGTAAGGTGTCTGACAGCAAGCAAAGCTGTGAAACTATTCTAAATATAACGTTCACTTAAACTGGTGTAGATTATTTTAGGAGTCTAAAATACATCCTCAGCAGAACATTACTTTGCTCCTGTGATGGTTCTCTATAAACTCATCTACTGTAGAACCCTGACTGTGGAGGAGAACCTTATACACACACACTTCATAACATCAGAACTGTCTCTTTAATCCCTTTTAAGCGGTTCAGACCAAACTACTCTATAAGTAAACTATTTATTTGATTAATTTCAACACTAGAAAACAAATCTCCCAAAATGTTTAGTGCTGCCAAGTAACCAGGTTGACATTCTTTCTTGTCTCTAAGTGACTGTGTGAAAACGTTTTGTCTTCCTTCCTTCCAGTAACTTGAGCAACAACAAGATCTCAGAGATCGAGGACGGGGCCTTTGAAGGCGCCTCGTCTGCGATGGAGCTTCACCTGACAGCCAACCACCTGGAGTCTGTGAGAGGGGGCATGTTTAAAGGCATGGAGGGGCTACGCATGCTGTGAGTCCCCTTCATACTCCTGCAGTATAGTTCAAACCTTTATTTCACTCTGAGCCACAGAGGACCAACCAGCTGTGCTATAGTGAAGTTGTGAGTGCCAAAACCATTTTAAATTCAATATCCTTGTGTGTGTGTATGTGTGTGTGTGTGTGTGTGTGTGCAGGATGCTGAGGAACAACAAGATCAGCTGCATCCATAACGGCAGCTTCACGGGTCTGAGCAACGTCAGGCTGCTCTCCCTCTATGACAACCAGCTGAGCACCATCCTGCCCGGAGCCTTCGACACCCTGCCCAACCTGTCCACGCTGTTAGTGGCACACACACACAGACACACAGACACACACACACACACACACACACACAGACACACACACACACACACACACACACACACACACATCGCGTCTTTGTGTCCCACTCTACATCTCGCCTCTGTCCCATCAAGGAATCTCCTGGCCAACCCGTTTAACTGCGACTGCCGCCTGTCCTGGTTCGGGGCGTGGCTTCGGAGCCGGCGGATCGTGACGGGGAATCCTCGCTGCCAGGGCCCCGCCTTCCTCCTAGAGATCCCGCTGCAGGACGTGGCTGTCCCCGACTTCCGCTGCGAGGACGGTGCGATACGCACACGCACTCTAATACACATGAATACTACTGACGGATTAATCACTGCAACATTAATCTGCACAGGAGCAGGTAGACAGAGAAGAAAAAGAAAATGCACACGTGGGAAATGAGAGGAAAATGTCAAATGTTATGTTCAATTTCATATTAAAGTTCAAATGTTAGTTTGTGGACCAGAGTATTTTGAACAGGGAGTCGTCTTTTTAACATGACAGCAGCAATACAGTGTCACCTCAATGTAAGTGAAGTAATCCGAGCCTCCGCTCCTCCCGTCTGTTCAGGTTCTGTCCTGGAGGACAGCAGCTGTGCCCCGGGGCCGCAGTGTCCCGCCCAGTGCACCTGTATGGACACAGTGGTCCGCTGCAGCAACAAACACCTGCAGGCTCTGCCCAGAGGACTCCCCCGCAACGTCACCGAGCTGTGAGTCGAAACAAAAAACGCCAAACACGGCAACTTCCTTCCTCACTTGAGTTGCATTTCACGTCGCATACCTGTTTAGACCTTACTTGCTTGTTCTCTTGGCTCTCCAGCTTTAGTCCTAAAAATAAGAACACTCTTACAGTTATATTCTCACAGCGTGTGTCGGGACCCATAGGTGGGTCGCAGGAGATTTATTTTGGGTCGCCAAATAAATTTGCAGATTTTCTTGCGTAGTCTTTTCTTTAACATTTGATATAGAGTAGCCTACACATCTGGGCAACATGAGGGGCCTGAATGTTCTGATAATTCTAGCCTACTTATAACATGGAATATAATATGAAATGCTAGCATACTTTCTATGTAGTCTACCGTATGTTCAGTGTAGCCTAGCGTACCTTCAATGTAGCCTAGCCTACGTTCTATGTAGCCTACCGTATGTTCAATGTATCCTAGCGTACGTTCAATGTAGCTTAGCGTACGTTCAATGTAGCCTAGCGTACATTCAATGTAGCCTAGCGTACCTTCTATGTAGCCTAGCCTACGTTCTATGTAGCCTAGCCTACGTTCTATGTAGCCTAGCGTATGTTCAATGTAGTCTAGCATACGTTCTATGTAGCCGAGCATACATTCAATGTAGCTTAGCGTACGTTCTATTTAGCCTAGTGTACATTCACCATAGCCTATAGCGTACATTCTATGTAGCCTACCGTACATTCTATGTAGCCTAGCGTACGTTAAATGTAACCTAGCGTACGCTCAA